CAATTTATCTGTTGTATATACAAACGGTTAAGCTGACAATTATGAATAGCAATCGAAGATTTTCCGAAGCAGTAATTGTAGAATAGACTCGTCTCTTCAAAATAAAACATCATTCTACCTCAAATGTTTATGTGACAAAAACTAATTTATTCTAAAATCATATATCGATTGTATTAACTGAGCCAATGGTTTATTTTTGTAATAACATTTAACTAACACATCGTATGAAACCGAGTGGTGTTCTGTTTTGAAAAGGAGAGTATATTATCGTTTCATAAAATCTTCGATGGTGTGAAGTTTGTTTTCTTACAAAAATGCGTCATACCTTGAAGTATTGCTTAAATGTACTTTAAATGTCGCTCATTTTTTTCATAAGTCCTGGGCGTAACCCCTTCAAAATCATTTATCTTGATTTCTACATACATTATATTGTTCAAAACTCTTGACAGCTTTGCCATTTGGAATAGTATGGGCTGCCGAAATTTAGTGGTAGTTGGTATCTGTGTACTCCATGAGGTTTACACGTACTGGTCATAATTAACCCAAAAATCGATTCACATATATATCCACATGACATAACTGTGCCGAAAATACACTATAATTTCAAGCGCTAATCACGATTCCCATTCGAATGTAGGTATTTCAATCATTATACGATACTAACAGAATCAATTCTCAAAAAAATATGCACATGTCAATTGAATTATATGAAAAAAAAAATGGTATTCAGTATAAATATCACACAGACAATATTTTAACTTTTAATCTTAAAAAGCATGTTTTGTTTTGATGTTAGTTTTTGTTACAAAACAGATAATTCATATGTCGCTTTTGGGTAATATATCGCATAGAAAAGAGAAAAAAATTCACTATGCAACTGTTTGTTTGTACGCGTCTGTTTCGCTAATGTGCAAGTGTCGGGAGAAAGCGTTATCTGTTTGACACGTGCTTGCTAAGAGAGTTTTAATTACAAGGACAAAAGAAACAAAAACCGAAAAAAATTATTGTTATCTGTAATAAATATGCATTTTACTGGAATAGGAAGAAAATGATGTAGATGAAAGAAAATATTCTACCGGTGATTACAGAATGTGTCTTTCTCTTTCTTTCTCTCATTCGTTCCATATATACGTCAAGATTAAAATGTAGAAAGAGAGAAAGAGAGAGAGAGAGAGAGAGACAAAAAGATGAGGAAGAAAAAAACAAAAACTGGAACCAAAAACCCAAAAGTAGCTAGTTATAGTGTAACTAATCGAATGTAAAATAACAATAACAAGAAGAAAAGACATTAAAATAAACGAGAGAGAGAGAGAGAAAAGGGAACACACTATTTTGTTTTAAACCCATCATCTCATTATTTTCGCAAATCTATTTTGAATTAGTAACATCTGTTTAATATTATCGACAGAAAAACAAATTTGTTTATCGTTGTTAACGTGATCGATTGATTGTTTGGCCACCCAGCGTAATTAGAATGAATGTAAGTACTAATAATAATAATATTTTAAGAAAATCAATTGTCAAAAGACTAGCAAAAATAATCGGATCATTTTTCTGTCTCCTTCTTTTCTCTGTTCATTCAGAAATCATCGAGGTTACATATGACAATAGTGATTCCAGCTCTTTTAGGTTAAGTCTCTCTCTTTTTAAGGTAGCAGTTTCAGATTCGGATCAACTGATACAGGCTTTTTTGACTGAGTCAAATGCAAGTCATTTATTTTAGATATGATATGGGATTTGAACATTAGATATCTTGTTATATAATAATAATTAGTAGATTTTGAGTATGATACCAACTAATGAGAGTAAAATTCAGATGGTGCAAATAAAGATAGGTAGAAGACACACATATGTAAAATAAAAGTTTTACGTGTTTCAAAAAAACTTCTTTCCGCACGATATACGTCCAAACAGTAAATCATCTGGATGTTTGAAAACTCAGAATTACATGCATCAAATAGCAAGACAACGTAAGATATTTGATTAGTGTTGAAAAGTAGAATATTTTATTATTAGTTAAGTGAGTGCTCAGTAAATACTAAGAACTTTCTATCTTAACTCATATTTCATGTAAACACTGCATGTTTTCTGTCAACGATGAAAGTAGACATCTAGATTCGGTATATAGTTGTTAATTAAGTCAAATAAATGAAAAAGAAATTCCTGTCGTTTCTAATTACATAGAAAAGATATTTAACAAAAAAATAGAATCAAACATAAACTTTATAAATCTTGTTAAAGTGATGAAAATATAGATTATGGAATATTTATGTATCTCGTGACAATGTTTGTTTTTGATCAAAGCATTCATCATATCAGAAATCTAGACATTTTATAATTTTGGGTTAATGATATAGTTACGAAAGAAATCTTATAATTTAACAATGATTAATTTAAAGCAGTTCTTTTCTATTTGATGAATATCTAGTCTTAGTTTTTTGACCATTTTTTTGATGACTTTCACGGTATGAGAGAATAAGTAGCAATAAATTTATTTCATTTTTTGTTGTATCGTGTTTTACAGGTGGTATTCGTATAAAAAAATATTCTAGTTTTCCTGACTTTATTCATATAGTTCACACTCTATTTTGTCTATTTTTTTAAATATCTTTTCTGTGTAATCCGAAAGGGTAAGATTTTCTTTTCATTTATATAGCTTAATTATCAACTGTATACTAAATCTAGATGTTTACTTTCCTAGTTGACAAAAAACATGTAGGAAAAAAAAAAAGTGAAAGAATTTCATTTTAATAGTAGAACTATGTAACCAAACTATACTTGCAAATTTTCATAATATTATCCTGATAAAAAGATAAAATTGAATGAATCCTAGTAATTTGACTTGATTTCTATCAGATCTTTGTTACTATGGTAAAGAATTTAAAATCGATTATTTTTCTCTCAAATACTAATGCACTTGGTTCTTTGCATTCTAATTAGAAACTACATGCACACACACTCTTACACAGATTATGATCAATTTAGTGAAAAGAAAAACGTTTCTTCTCACGTAAAGAATCGACTAATAAATACGAACTCATATGGATGATCTTTATTGTATATCAACATTCAACAATAATTTCGTTTAGTGAGCTAATTTAAGACTGTCATTCGGTGTATATTTAATTGAGACAGATGTGTGTAGGTGTGAATATATCAACTATTTTATTAAATGTATGTTTATATTTCATGTTTATGTAATATTATGACAGTTTAAATTAGATATCTATTTATTAATTTTTGTATATGATATAGAATTATTTCGAGTAAAATGGACAAATAATTAAAATGATGACACATTAATCTAATATATTTTTCATGTTATTTTTTCTTCTGATATTTGTTTTGTTTCATTGATATAACAAGGTAAATATAAATAGATTATCAAATATGTTTAATGACCATGTTTAAAAGAGTATATAATTTTGTCCTTGTAATAATGTAACAAATCTACATCGTATAGTAATTTTTTTTAATATTAATAAAGTCACTAATTTTCTAATCAGAAAAATTTCTATCATCTATTATTTATAGACTAAGATTATGTCATGTCAAGCATTGTTACTGTGCGTGTAACATATTTGTTTTTGTGTCTGAATTTTCATATAATAATTTGTTAAGTATGCACGTATCTAAAAAACATACCAGTAATCATCATATATATATATATTATTGCTGGAAAGAAAATATCATAAAAGAAAATAATCCGTTCATCTAATAATGCAAATATCCAATGTATATTTTAGACGATTCATGTGATGGCACTCGTATAATGATAATCTTTTGTAGAAGAGAAAAAAAACAAAAAAGTTCTTAAAATAAAATAAACGCATTGCTATCACTCAGTTTTTTTTTTAAATGATTAAATGATAATAAATAATTTTCTTTTTTTCTTTTTCTTGTTTTTTATGTGCAATTTTGTAATTAACGTACATTTTTTTTTTCTTTTTTTAACAAATGTAAAACGTCTTTAAGTCACTATAAGGATTTGGTGATCAATTCAAATCTAATTAAGATACAAAGTGACTGTTTCAGTCACTATTCTATTAAAAATATAGGATTTTATTCAATAAGCTTACCGTAAGAATTCTTCTTTTATAAAACTTTTCCTGTTGATAAAGTAAGACAAATTTATAATTGAAAACAGTGCTGGATGGCATTTCATTAACCCTAAAACTCTTTTTTTCATAAAAAAGAAAAAATAAGTTACCATAGAAAGATGATACGTATGTAGCATTTTTTAGCGTGATGTTGAAAAACTAGAGCAATTGTATGATACCTTTATTTTTTGGTTGTTCTCTTTTCCTTTGTTTAAAATGATGCCACTAAGAGAATAGTTTCATATGACACCTTGTCTGATGTGTGATATTTTATAATGAAAAAAAGTTATAATGGTAACTTTTATATTATCTACTTATGGGTATTAATATCAAGAAAATATCCCATGAGTCATTATTTTAGGTTCATATAGTTTATTAGAACATGCAAAAAAACTTAAAAGATGATTAAATGGTTAAAGTTAGAGATATGAATTAATTATTTATAGTAATATAATAATGTATTTATATTGTAAAATGTATATTCCCTATTTTGTACTGTGTCAATGATACTGTTCATTAGTAGATCAAATATAAAATAATTTAAAAATAGAAAAGTTAACAGTCAAAACACTTGTATTATCAGAGTTATTTTTAAAAAAATGACGAAATTTTCTCTAGGTCTCATTCGACTCAAGTAAATGAAAAGTTAATTGCCTCAAATATATAAGAATATCATTTGATCATGTATTATTATGTCTTTATAAAAAAATTATGTTAACAATTTTTTATTTTAGCTTGCGCTTGTACTGCATTTGCACAGGCAATAGAGACCTTTTTCACTAATCATTAACAGAACAACTTTAATTATCAAGAATAAGATTATTAGAGAGTATACACAGTTTCATCTTATTCAAAATAGAACAAGTCAAACTATTATCATATTGATCTAACTCATTCTCGATGACAAACGAAGAATTATCGAATTCAAAGTTTAATCCAAATCATTCCAGTGCTCAATTTAGTCAACGAAATAGTACATATAATGATAATACCGATGAAACAACATCATTATCATCAAATTCAACAACAAGTTTTATACAGAAAAAACAGCCTATTGCACGAAAAGGTTCAATTTTTTTTTTTATTAAATTAATTGATTAATGATTTCTAATGTTATAAATTATTTTTCATATTTAAGGAGCATTACGGCAAAAGAATATTTCTGTTGTTAAAAATCATCAATTTTTACCAAGATTTTTTAAAACTCCCACGTTTTGTAGTCATTGTAGAGATTTTATATGGTGTGTATTTACAAATTTTGATTAAAAAAGACAAAATATTTCAACATAAAATACTTACTTATTCTAGGGGTTTTGGAAAACAAGGATTTCAATGTCAAGGTAATTTAAAAATTAATATTTTTTTATTATCAATTTCAATTTTAATGTAAGTTAATTTCATTTACAATTTGTGCACTATATCTTTGTCATTTATAGAGAGATATTTCTAAAGTTTTAGCATAATTTGAACTAATCATTTAATAAATCATGTCAAAAACTGAAAATTTCCAATTACTTATTGTGTAAATCTACTCTATAGTATTATTATGTATATATATATTTCATTGACAATTTTATTGGCTAATTGTCGTTTGGCTTTTTTATTATAGTTTGCTCGTTAGTAGTGCACAAACGATGTCATGAATTTGTATCATTTGTATGTCCTGGTGCAGATAAAGGAGCTGACTCTGATGTAAGTATAAATTATTAATAATGTTTTTTTGTCTCAATTTTGTCAAATGTTGATTTTATAGGCTCCAAGTAATTGTCACAAATTTCTAATTCATACTTATACATCACCAACATTTTGTGATCATTGTGGATCTTTATTATATGGTTTAATTCATCAAGGATTAAAATGTCAGGTAGATTGGTTAGAAGAAAAATAAAAAATTAATTATTTTCTAAAGTTTTTTTTCTTTTTTTTTTGTTTGTTTATTAGGCGTGTGATATGAATGTTCATAAGAAATGTTCACTTGTTGTACCAGATTTATGTGGCGTAGATCATACAGAAAGACGAGGAAGAATTAAATTAAATATACATGCTGAAAAAGATAAATTAATTGTTCAAAGTATATATCTATGATTTAAAAATATTATTTCTAGAATATTTATCATACCCATTGATTTTAGTCATAGAAGCAAAAAATTTAATTCCAATGGATCCAAATGGTTTGTCTGATCCGTATGTGAAAATTAAATTAATACCATCAGACTCAAAAAAACAACATGGAAAATGTAAAACTAAATTACATTACAAAACACTAAATCCACACTGGAACGAAACTTTTACTATGTACGATTATTTATTGAAAAAAACAAAGTCGTTCAACATTCTTTGAATATTAAAAAATATTATAAAATATAAAATTCAATATTAACGAGAATTTTTTCTGTTGAAGATAAAAAGTCTTTTAGTGTAATATTTCATGGATGAATCTCTAAATTTATTTTTCTGAATCTATCTCATATACTACTCTCATTGAATTATTAATTTATTTTTACATAATAAATCGTGTTTTTTTTTTTCGTTTCATTTTTCTAGTGAATTGAATGAAGAAGATAAAGACAAGAGACTTTTAATTGCCGTTTGGGATTGGGATCGTACAACAAGAAATGATTTTATGGGATCATTATCATTTGGTAAATAAATAATGAAAACATTCATCTTTATATGTTAACTAATAAAATTTATAATTTAATTTTAGGTGTAACAGAATTATTAAAGGAACCAGTTGAAGGATGGTTTAAATTATTAACTCAAGAAGAAGGTGAATTCTATAGTGTATTGGTACCGAGTGAAGAAGGATTAGCCGTAATGAAATTAAAACAAAAATTTGAAGTATGCATATTTTAATTCTAAAAAAAGAAACCTTATGAATTCTGATTATCTAATTTGTTTCTTGTTATTGGTTATTTCTTTTTTTTAGAAAGCAACATCGTTGCGTGAACATTATGCTGAAGGATCAGAAAAATTAATGCAACGTTCATTAAGTTTAACAAATGCACTTAAAGTAACAGATTTTAATTTTATCAAAGTGTTAGGAAAAGGAAGTTTCGGAAAAGTATGTCTCATTCATACAATATATACAATATAATTCAATGTAGAAAAAAAATTTTACTTTTTTTATACAGGTTGTATTAGCTGAACGTAAAGGTACCGATGAATTATATGCTGTAAAAATTCTTAAAAAAGATGTTATTGTACAAGATGATGATATTGAATGTGTTATGATTGAAAAACGTGTTCTAATGTTACATGATAAACCATCATTTCTTGTACAACTTCATTCATGTTTTCAATCTGTCGTATGTATTATAGATGTTGATAATAAGATAAAATATTTATTCATTTTCATTTATTTATAGGATCGATTATATTTTGTTATGGAATTTGTTAATGGAGGAGATTTAATGTATCGTATACAACATGAAGGAAAATTTAAAGAACCTGTTACTTGGTTTGTATCTATTTTTCAATTATATTATAATTAAAATGTAAATTTTAATATAAAATTTTTTAGTTTTTATTCAGCTGAAATTGCTGTTGGATTATTTTATCTTCATAGCAAAGGAATTATATATAGGTAAGTAATGTTACTACATTGCTAGTCGTATCTTCTACAATTTATTTCATATTATTATTTAGAGATCTTAAATTAGATAATATATTATTGGATAGTGAAGGACATATCAAAATAGCCGAGTAATAATGCATGAATTTAATTATATAAGTCTCAAAAAATTTTTATAAATATTTTATTTAGTTTTGGAATGTGTAAAGAAGGAATTATCAATGATAAAAAGACGTCAACTTTTTGTGGTACACCAGGTTAGTAAATATTGGTCATACTATTTCATATTTATTGAATATTAAATCAAATTATTAATATTTAGATTATATTGCTCCAGAAGTAAGTGTAATTGAAATTGTATAATTACAGTTTATTCTCTAGCTAGTGTATAATTTTAGATTATTTTATATCAAAAATATGGAAAAACAGTTGATTGGTGGGCTTATGGTGTACTATTGTACGAAATGTTAGCTGGACAAGTATATGTCTATATAATTTAACTGTTTACTCTTTATAATCAAATATCGTTATTTTTAGCCTCCATTTGATGGTGAGGATGAAGAAGAATTATTTACAGCCATAACCGATCATAATGTATCCTATCCAAAATCAATGACAAAAGAAGCTGTTTCCATTTGTAAAGGGGTAAAATATTTTAAATTTAATATTTATATATACTTTGATATTAATTAATTGTTTATTTCAAGTTAATGACAAAATTACCACAAAAACGTTTAGGATGTGGTCCCGATGGTGAACGGGATATACGTGATCATATATTTTTTCGTCGTATCGATTGGATAAGAATTGAAGCGCGGGAAGTACAACCTCCCTATAAACCAAAAATTGTGAGTAGATAATGAAAAAAATTTGTTTCTTCATTTCTTCTATCTATAACAAAACAAAGAAAAAACAAAAAAAAAAGTAGAAAAAAGAAATTTCTTCAACACCTATTTCCATGCATGTTTCGTCGTCTAGAAAGTAGAATTTAGAAATAATATACTGTTGACACACCATAGTTACAAATAAAAAATAATTTGTAGATAATGTTTAGTTTGCACAAACAATAATTCACATAAAAATAGAACGAATAGTTTTACGTTTTCAAATAAACAGTTTTATCTAATCGAGAGCAAATATCGATTAAAAGAAATTAGAAATTGAATTATTTCTTTTATGCAAATATCTGCAATTGTAACGTTTATGTTATGTTCCTGTGTCTCTTATTCTAGAAAAATGCTCGTAACGCAGAAAATTTTGATATATATTTTACCAAGAATCCATATAAACAGACAACATGTGATCAATTAGTTTTGGCTAATATAAGTGACGATATATTTCAAAATTTTTCATGTGTTAATCCATATTTTATTAATCTTGACACTAGGACATGATACCATGTAAAATACGAAATATATTTAAAAAAAAAAAAAAAACAATTTTTCTCCTCACGGATATACAACATATATCCGTAACCAAGAAAATGGTGAACATCGTGTCGTTTTTTTTGTTTTTGTTTTTGTTGTTTATTCCAATGCGCATGCTTTTCTTTTTACATCTTTCTATAATTAATTACCCGGTAATTTGTGTTAAAGAATTTTTCTGTCAAGTAATCATCATAGAGTCATCCCAATTCGTCATTTTTGCATGTTCGTATTTTGAGAAAACGTAACAACTACACATGTTTCACAACATATTCTTATAGTAATGCTAATTAGTTGTGCACTTTCTTAAATTAAACTTCTAAAGTTAGTAGGAAAAAAAAAAATTAAAATTGAAATAATATAAAACAAATGCGGCATTTAGTTAAATAAAAACGAAATTTAGCAAAAAGTTTTCAAAACAAACAGGAATCATTCCATTCTCTCTTTCTCTGTCTCTCTCTCTCTCTCTCTCACTGATTTTCTCACTTCATCTATTTTTCTTTTTTGACAATCATCTGAGTGATCAGTATTGCAAAAGAAAAAAACAGAATTATTATCATTCTTTTATTTTCACATCTGCATGCTTCTTCTCTTATAGAGCTTTTGTACTTTGTCAATTGCTTTATTTTATATCTCTTTTTAATGATAATCTTTTATTGTTATATTATTATTATTGTTGTTGTCGTAATATTGTTGCTTTTTTTCAACACTCATGCTCATATCTTTGTTTTTGCCTTTGATATTCATTAATGTGATTATCATATGTGAAAAAATAATAATAAAAAGAACACAATTCATTTTGTGACATAGATTAGATAATTCATTTATTTAGAATGGTACAAAAGATACGTCGAATTTTGATCGTGAATTTACAAATGAGGCATTAAATTTTACACCAACTGATAAATTATTTATTATGAATATGGATCAAACAGAATTTGAATCGTTTTCATTTTTAAATCCAATATTTATTTCAAATTCGTCATTAACAACGACGACTCTCTAATTAAATTCGACTATGCAATAAATTAATCGTTTTATCATTATACTTTTAAATATAACGAATTATATATCATTTATAAACATATCTTTATGTTATACTAAATACAACAGATTGTTTTTCGTCACGACTTTTATCATGTTGTATATGAAAATTATTATTTTTTTTATCTAAAGTATCATGTCGACACAGTGGGCATTCAGGCGGACATTTGGCAAAAAATCGAAAGTGTTCTCTTTTAAGATTTCAAATAGTTTGAAGTATACTCCAGTTTACGGACTATTTAATGACGTTAAAACTTTTATTTTAAGTGCTCGATTTCAATAAAAAAGTCACCTGCAGATAACAGCCTAGATATGAGCGACCTTGCAAATAAATCATTTTTTATATTGAACTAAGTCAGTTTGAATTAATAAAAACCATATATTCTTAATTTAGAAACTCTTAGCTATTCATCTATGACTAAGTTTTTTGCTCAGATCCCTTAATCGACGAGAAAACACATTCTTTTTTAAAACCAATCGTGTTTCCAAATGAGAAGTTAGAATGTAATGAGGTATCCATGGATATCCAAGGTCGAACCTGACTCAAAATTACACCGAAATGTCTTGTATCTATATTGCACGCAGCTTTAAGCAGATTTTTTCCGAAGCTTAGCTACAGGTTTCCGAAAAACCTTGGTTTTTTTAGATAAAATGCTTTTTTCTCAGACAAGGAACACTTAAAGTAGTATTGAGCAAAAATAGTCTCTTTCTGAATTAAAAAAACCACATATCCGTCTGCTCTATAGAAAAATGCCCACCGTGGTCGACTATACAAATTTATTGACGTTATCGATGGTTCATATCAGAACCGATTCTGTAATTTGTGTAAACAAACAGTCTAATGTGTTGTTTTACAATGTACATTACTGATACGATGATATTTCTCTTTTAATTCAGAATAATAAGAAACTCAAGTGTAACCAATTCACCTCGAATTTGTTAGAGGATATTGTTTTATAATTTTTTAGGGTTGGGTGACTTTCATTAAAGCCTTTGTTTTAATAAAAGTACCGGAACTTTTATTAAAAATATTTTTAATGAAAGTCCCGTTACTTTCATTAAAAAACTTTTAACAGGAGTTCCGTCCGTTAAAATGATTTTGATGGCACAAGAAGTTTATCAAAATTTTTTGATGGCAGAAGAACTTCATTAAAAATTTTAATGAAAATCCAGGGTCACTAAACTGATCCCCCCCACCTTAAAGATCACTACTCTTTACTTGAACGCAATAACCAAACCTCTCTGCTTTTTAAATTTTCCATATCTAATATGTATGAGTAAATTGTATATCCATTGTACCGTTGGTTGTCGGCTAATGTTTTGCTTATAAAAATTGTTCTCCTCAACCGATTTTAAATTTCTTTCGTTTATTCTGTTTGTTCATTAATGGTTATTCACTTGTGAAAAAGAGAACTCTTCATCTCAAATGGATGCTGAGATATAGGTCAAACAAGACCAAAGTTGACTGTTTTTGACACCATCTGAAGAAAGAATCAAATTTTTTCTCTGATTTATTTAAACTAGTTCTGAAAGTTTTTTAGCGTTTCTTGTAGCCTGTAAAGTAGATTTTCAGGATATGTACTCTGAATTTAGATAAAATCATATTTTGACTCTGGTTTTAGCCAAAAAAACTCTGTTTACGAACACTTTTGCAAAATTCTGTCCACCGAGATTAGAACTAGATTCATATAGCAATGACGAACCCTGAAAAGTTTTGAAATAGACAGGAAGATTGAGAGCGTACAAAGCTCTACATTTTGGCTAAAAAAGGAAAGTTTTTAGAGTTTTTTATTCAATCGAAAATCAGGATAAAACATTTATTCAATCTGTTTTTTGTACAAAATGTTCATCGAGATTTTGAAAATTGTCTGGTCTATAACTCCGAAACAGTTTATCCGTTAGAGCCGAACCCTTTATCCTTTTTATCATTTGCTATCCAGAATATATAATAAAAACGGTAACACTCTAGCTTGCCTTGTTACAGAGAAAATCTCATTTTACATCAAAAATGTCCACCGAGATTATTTTGTATATTTTTCGGTTAAAGTAACTTCGAATTCCAACTCATTATACATCATACGATTCGTTGAAATCTGGACTACTCGTTTGAAATTAAAAAAAATTGTAGGATCTATAGGTTATCCTTTATTTCTTTTGCACATTCTACGATTAGTTAAAGCTTGAAAAATATTCCAGTTAGTTTGTTATTGTTAAGAAAACTATAATAATTACTGTACATACCATGACCCAAAATTTAATATTCGATTCCTGAGCTGTATGAATAAGAAAAGGATCTTATGCCCCATAATTCTACTCCAGAAATATAGTTTTCTGCTTTTATCAATCATTCTTAGGAAAAAACAATAATTTCTTTTTTTGGAAGGAGTTTTTGGTTCAGTAAAATCTTTAAAAATTCGCCAATATTTTCAGTAAAGTGTAAGGAAAATTATATTTTTAGATACAGTCGAAAGTGCTCTATGAGTACGACTCAAAACTTTTTTATTTTTAACTTTTTTTCGATCGATTTTTTTTCATGAACGGTACAATGGCTATGCAATTCACTTATATATCGCTTAGCAAAAAATACCTATTTCACTTTCTATATGTATCGTTACACGCTATATACATAATTTTTCTCCGCTTAAACATACCTATTTTCGGGTGTTTAACTTATATTCTGTTCACCTAACTTTCATTAAAATGATTTCTGTAAAGTGACTGTGACAGTTTCATTAAAATTTTTTGATGACACAAAAATTTCATTCAAAATTTTAATGAAAATCCAGTCATCGAACATACAGGAAGTTTTGTTAAAATTTTGATGAATTTCCTTTTAATGAGAGTTTTTTTAATGAAACTCCGATATCCCATTTTTTACTCTTACAAGGGAACCTCTCGAGATGAAAATCGATGTTTTTACTCAAACTACTATGATAAGATCACCTCCAACGATTAATAAAGAAATTCAAAGAGATTCGCTTTATTATTTATCCTTCAAATAAAAAGACTGGTATATATCGACCCAAACAGAAATGAGTAAGAAAGAAGAAAGAAAAACTAACTGAAAACTAGCTTATGCGCCCGCTTAAGAGTAGATTTTTGGGTCAAATAACTAGCTGCAATTGAGTAAGTACCCACCGTTAGTTGTAAGCTGGCGATGCATTGGTCGCTGAATTGGCTGATTAACGCCTGATTAATCGGTATCAACTAGCTGCAGCCGCTTAAAGCATCGCTTAAGACTAACTGCAGTGAATTAATAATTGAGTTAGCTAGTTGCGAGTGCCCATTTTATAATTTTTTTTCCTATGTGAAGAGACAGCAAGTAGTGAACGTCAAACTTTCATCAAAACTGCTGCAGCTAGCAGCTATATTATAAATATAAAATTTTATCATAGCTTTTGGCCGAGAAATCGAACATTTACTGTCAAAATTATGTTGTATGAAGAAAAAAAACGCGAAAAAAATTCATAACGCAATCTTGGAAGTCTAGAAAAGCGAACTCTTTTGAATGTTTTCATGACTCATCAGAATTCATCTTATCATAATAGTTTGACTCCAAAAGCGATTTATAATCTTCAAAGGTTTTCTTGTTAGTTGATTATGTGTTTGACAATTGTATAAAATATTAGAACATGTGAACTTAATCAAATATGAACATATGTCAACATTTATTTCTGTTTTTAGTAATACACTTGACATTACTACTTGATATTTGTGACGGTACATAGTGTATGCAACTTAAGAAAGAAAAAACGCCAAAAATGTACTCATCTCGAAATATATCCATTTTAAAATGACATCCTGATTTTTACAAAATATTCTAAGTGCTTGTATATGATAATCAAATTTTTTCTCTACTATTCTGAAATAAAATAGCCACATAACCTTTAGTTCAAATCTTTGCGTGTTCGTGAAGCTAAATAAACAAGATCTTAGTAGATCGATTCCTGTCTCGCGATTTCATAACGATTCATACTCAAACCTGATCGTTCTCTGTCATTATATCTATTTTAATTATCTACTGTGCGCGTATGAGTCATAAGATAAATAGAGTCATAAGATAAATAGATTTCAAAACATACGGAAAAAAATATGCTATTTTCAAAATAGCTTAACAAATACAGATCCGTTAAATTTTTGTCTGATGAAAGGGCACATCTACACAATATACTGAACATAAAGTGAATAAAAACGTAGAAAATCTCATTTCACATGATGATAAAAGATGCACATTTTTTTTAATTTGTTGTAAATGAAATCGATTCAGTAGCAAAAGAAATTTTAAAGTTTCAACTTTATGATTTTGCATCTAGTTTAGCCCAAAATAATAAAGATATTTTCGCAATATTCGCTAATAGTATTGAAGATTTGGAAGAGTTAATCAAAAAAATTGGTTTTGATGTTAAAAATAGAGATGATGTTAAGTTTATTATTGATATAAGCTTTATTCTGTCAGAATACAACCGAAAAAATATTTCATTATAGTTTATTATTGAAGATGAGTAAAAAGTAAAACCGATAGTTAACGGGATGCGTAAGCTATCGTATTCTAGTAATCATCGATTACTAGAATCGATGATTATTTTGCGAAGGGGTCCAAATAAATGGGGCGGGGTTACTTGGATTAGTTATAAGTATTGTAATTTTAATGATATCGATATCTCAAAAACAATACTTTTTAACTAAACTTCCATTTGCACCTGTAAACTAATTGATACACTTATATTAGATAATATCGATTTCCTGCTTACGCATCGCATTTACAATTCGTGTACAACACGATTGTATCCTAGCTTAATTCATATTTTGCCTCAATTAGTTAAAACAATANGCAATGTAAGCAGTCAGCATTAATAAAAAGAAAATTGTTGAACAATACCTTTTTCTAATGGAAAATCACACCGATTTTCTTCGACATACGAAAGATTAACAAGTAGATAGAATAAATTCTGATCATTCTCT